CCTTTTCTGATTTTAAAATCAACGGGATTGACGCCGGCCGCCTTGATGCGCACCAGCACCTGCGTTGGCTTGAGCACCGTTGGTTTTTCATATTGTTGATATATCAAATTTTCCGGTGGTCCGTATTCGTTTAGTACCAAAGCTTGCATGTTTTGTGCCAAGAAACGCCTGGGGTTGTTCCAAGTTTAACAAATTCGTTTGATGATTTGTCTGCCAATACAAATATGTCCATGGCGTTGTATCTACTTTATCTAGTCCCACCAATCTACCTGATTCATGCCTGGCCACAAAGTAACGGATAAGCATTCTATCTGCTTATCGCTACCTTGCATACAAATGAAAAGCACAAGCCAATGATATCTGTCAAATATGCAATGCTTTTATTAATCTTCAAGTTGGTTTACATTCGAAAAGCTTGGTTTGCAAAGGATCTTGACCCAACCATCCTTTTTGTAAAACAATTTGTCATAGGCATCGGGAATATCTTCCATTGTCACCTCATGAGTAACCAAAAATGATGGATCAAACTCTCCCGATTCGAGGTATTTGATGACCTTTGGAAAGACTCGCTGACATGGAGTTTGCCCGCCTTGAATCGTTAAATGCTTCATCTGAATTGCACCAATGAAAAAATGGTTCGTGTAGCCAGTGTAGTCTGCAATCAAAGAAATCTTGCCAAACTTTCTGACAGCCGTTAGCATTTCGTTAACCAAATCGCAGGCGTCGGTTTCCAAACCAACCGCTCTCTCTACACTATGTACAATGGAGTTTGTGAATCTGAAGCCGGCCGCCTCCACGCAACAATCTGGGCCTTCAGGCAGGATTTCCCAAATAGCATCAACGACTTTGCTGACTTCCTTTGGATTGATGACGTTGATTCCAAGCTTTTCTCTTGCTAGTTGCTGTCGTTCTAGAATTGGTTCGATGGCAATAATTTCCGAGGCACCAAAGATTTGAGCCCATTTTGCTGTACAAAGGCCAATTGGCCCTAATCCCCAGATACATATTGATTCTCCCTTTTGGAAGTTGCATTGTTCCAGTGCGTGATACGCAGTGGACATGATATCAGTCATGTACAGTGCCTTCTCGAATGGGACAGAGTCTGGGATTTTGAAGCAGTTGACGTCCCCGAACGGAACTCGAACATACTAAAGATGATTGACTGTTCATTACCTCTGATTGTGAACCTGGAACATTTCCTAGCATTCGTCCATATCCAAACACTCCGCCATGGGCATGTCCGTATCCGAGCTGCATTAATTTCGAATCGTTGGTTTTGGAACAGCCGCTAAACTCTTGTCTCTTGCAATAGTCGCAGTCTCCGCATGCCAGATTAAATGTCAATGCCACGCGATCGCCGATCGAGACTGTCTTGACCTGTGAGCCGATTTCATATACAGTTCCAACACTACTCTTTAGCACTGCAGTATTACCATTCGTGTCCAATCGTAAAGTCCTTGTCCATGCCTGGAATTTCGCCGGTGTACACTTTTCGTTACTACCATTATCCGCGAATACCATGAGAGTCAGAGCCAGAACAAACAGTAAAACACTCGGCCTTAATAATTACGTCTTTTGGGTCCGAGATCACTGGTCTGGGGACCATCTCACACGCAACTTTGCGCTTTCCCTTCCACACGATCGCTCGCATCAATTCATGTGAGCGCTGAGGCGTAGTTGGTGCTCCCACATTAGGATTCTTGCCCAAGTAGTCATCAACCAGTTTTGCGGCAGTGTTCATGTTCTTTTTTGGTAAAATGGAACAAATTAAAATCAAATTAAATCTTAATGTCGTAAAATGAATTTAAAGTTAAGAAATTAAAGTTGATTTAATTTCTAATTTAACGAATTACAATTATGTACATTGACTTGGACATTGACCAATCCAATCATTTTGATTCTGAAACGTAATGCAATTAGCCACTTACTAGTACCATGCTTGGCATCAAGTCAATCTCTGGGCACTGAACCAATCCAATGATGATTTCACCAGTCTCGCTTACATAGGTCCGAGTTGTATGCAGGATCGCTGTAGTCTTGAGTCAGTAGCAAGCATGTCCATGGCATTGCCTTTGTAATAATACTCGATGAATCAACCCTAGCCATTGCGATTTGTTGTCCTATGGATATAGGGCTCCAATAAACACTTCTATTATTCAAAGGTTCTTCCAGGTATGGCGATTATGCGACATCATCAGTGGAGGTGTAATATCCTTTTGTTGTGTTAGTTGGGACTGAGGTTTTAAACCAACAAGCTTCGTTAGCTTAGTCGGTAGAGCGTGGTGCTAATAACGCCAAGGTCACAGGTTCGATCCCTGTACGAAGCATTTTTTGTCTTTTCTGTGCCTTTGGTTATGCTGTGGCATTTTTGTGTGCTGTCGGTCCATGCGGCAAGCAGAATCTGGATCGGTCTGCATGTGACTGGCACTGTAAGAGATGAAAGTGCCATGTTTAGTTCTGATATGACGGCTGCACTATGTTAGATATTCGCTTCGTTAGCTCAGTTGGCAGAGCGCGGCGGTTTGCTGCCTATTGGTATTCCAAAATGTTCGTCGAGGCCACAGGTTCAATTCCTGTACGAAGCTTCTTTTTTGCTGTCTTTCGTTCACTGCTGCTGTTGGTGCATTGAAAAAGCAGTGCGCACAAAGCAAGCTGGCGTCCAAAGCAGATGGCGTTCTTGGTCGCGTTGTCTATATAAACGCATTGGAACCCAAGCAGGTCTATCCAAAATGTCCAATGTCAGTGCTATTCCAAACAGCCAGGCGGCAGCATCTGTCACGACGACAGTTGGTGCCACGGTGTTCTGGGACATTGAAAACATTCACACTCCCAAGGGCATTGCTGGGTACCAAGTGACTCGGGCTATCAAAAACCTGTTGATGTCCCAGTCGCACCACCTGGTCAATTTTACGGCGCTGGGCAACCTAGGGGTATTGGCCGACTCGCTAAAGAACGAGCTGGAACAGTCTGGGGTGAATCTGCACCACATTGGGTCTGGCAAAGAGTCGGCAGCTGACATTGGCATTCTGGGAGAAATCATGAAGCTGATTTTTTTCACCAAACCCCCGCATGCCATTTATCTGATATCGGGCGATCGCGACTTTAGCAAGATTCTGCATTTTTTGGACTCGCTCCACTACGATCTTACACTTATCCACAATCCCCAAGTATCCCAGACGTTGGTGCACTCGGTCAACAAGTCGATGCTGTGGAAGGACCTGTTTTCTTCGGCTGTGCGGACAACGGACAGTCATTGGGCGGTTTCCACGCAGCCGACTCTCAACCGACCCAAGACGCTGTGCACCGATGTATGCGTTCATGCTTCTAACAACTAGTTTGCGCCGCTGGTCGTGTATCTGAAGAGTCAAAAGAACTTTCAGTGTCTCATGTCTCGAATGGGATTGGAGACAAAGACGCTGTACACGGCGATGGGCTACACCTCGCTGCGATCATTTATTGATGCTGCAGTCAAGGCAGGTGTTGTTTCCGTCCTCCAGGATCCGTCGTCGCCGGTTGTGCAGTTGAACCAGACCGATGACCCGCCCGAGTCGTGCCAGCCGGCGGCCGTTGTGGAGCTTCCAGTGCCAAATCCCGACGAGTCAAAGGCTTTGGTGAGGCAGCGGGACGATCGAGGAGCGAGACCAGTGTCGGTGTGGTCGCAGCTGGCAGATCATGAAACGCTAGTCTTGACCTCGGTTGTTTCCAAACCATCGCCGGAGCCGTCTGAGCCGAACCTGCTGGAGATTGGCAGTCGGTCGTCCATCACGCTGGACGAGTTTGACGTTTATCTGGTGGCAAGGAAAAACTCGAAAGAGCCGTCTATTCCAAACAAGGCCAAAAAGATTTTAGGGCTGGTAGGGGACGATGCGATCTCTCTCGCTTCCGAGCAAGGCTCCATCAACACGCTGGCGGCTCCTAGGAAATCGTTTGCGAGCCAGACGAGTCGTCGATTCTCGCTGTCTGTCAAGCCTTTCCACAAACGCCGGATGCCAAAAGTGGACGGTGCGTGCTCCGTCATGTGATGGCTGGAGAGAATAAAGATAGCTGCCACCATTCAACTGGATTGCAGTCGCTGTGATGCAGCCTGGATCGCCAGTGCCTTGCAAACCTAGCGCACTTTGACCAACTGGTCGCGACGCATGGAATTCCAAGAGAGCTGCAAAAAATGCCAAAAGGTGGAGTTTCTGCTGTTTTCCTGTGCCGCTTGCAATCACAAATACTGCGGCCCACACCGCTTTCCATCGGCGCTGGCTGGAGTCCAGAGCAGCGATGGCCATGAATGTGTCCCTTCCCCCCAGCCTGGCTCCAGCGGCACTCTGTCTACTGCAGGTATTGGCAAGCAGAAATGCTCTTTGTCGGGCTGCAGTACGGTTGACATTCTGGTGCATCAATGCAAGGACTGCAATCAGATATTCTGCTTGGCACATCGCCATGGCGTGGATCACTCTTGCACCAACCCAAGTGCGCTGGTAGCCAAGCCCAGCCCTGTGGTGCCGCTTCCGCTGGGGCCAAAGAAACAAAAGGCCAAAGCACCGAACCCAAAGCTGGACCTGATGAAGCTGAAGCTGAATGCCAAAGGGAACGACAACATTGCCATGACTGAGCGGGTGTATCTCTCTGTCCACTACCAGGGGCTTGCGGCGGTCGATGCCCTCTTCTACTCCATCTCAACCGTGGTGGGACGGCTGGTAGACATGCTGGCCTCGCGGGCTGCCTGGGTGAATGAAAACAACTTGGCAACCAAGGACAGCATCCGAGTTGCTCTGTTCCATGGCATCACGGGGATTATCTTGCCGATGGAGTCCACGCTGGGAGACCTGATAAAGGGGAATGTAATTTATAACGGGGGCTCGGTAATTCTCTGTCGGACCAATCAAGATGTGATTGAATTGTGATTCAGTTACTTTGCACTAATGAATCACGTTTGAATCAACTTTCGCGCACTATATAACACTCGCTGCATTGATTCCCTCCCCGGCATATCCATGCCTCGAACAATTCTTATTCCAGTTGAACTCGGTGAACCCACCAACCACTGCATTGAGTGGGCAAAGGCAAACGTGCTCTTGCCCAGCGACGAAGTCGTCCTAGCGCATGCCGTCAAAAAAGTTATCCTGGACAACCAGCACTATCTTTGGTCCGACTCTGTGCTGACCTCGGTTGCGCGTCAAAACCAAGAATACGAAACAAAGGCAAAGGCAATCTTGGAAACGTTTGCCCACCAATTGGGCCCCGACAAAAAGGTAGACATCCAAATCCTCCACGGAGACCCAAGAACCGCAATCGAAACGTATGCCATTGCGCTCAAACCTGATTTTGTCATCATTGGAAGCCGAGGCTTGCGTGGTTTGAAAAAGGCTATCATGGGCTCCACTGCTGAGTATCTGGTCCATCACTTGGCCATTCCTGTGTTAATAGTGCATTAATTTCATTTGGTAGATTAAGTCACGTGCATTTCTCGTGTCAATTCAGTCAGCAACAATAAATTTGAATTATTTCTTTTCCTTTTTACAATTTTGATGCCACGCAAAATTCTAATTCCCGTTGACATTTACGATGCAACCGAGCATTGCATCAGTTGGTGTAGAGAGAAAATGTTTATTCCGAGTGATGAAGTGGTCTTGGCTCATGTCGTCAAAACAGAAGAGGAAGACCGAAAAGCAAAGGAGTTGCTGGAAGCACTTGCCCAGAAAATTGGAACAGGTACAAACGTTGACGTCAAAATACTCTATGGGGACCTCAGATCCGAAATTGAAAAATTCACGAGTGCATTGCATCCAGACTTTATGGTCATTGGTACTCGTGGTCTGACCGGTATCAAAAAGGCATTCCTGGGTTCCAATGCTGAATACTTTGCCCAACACCTCACGGTTCCCGTTGTGATTGTTCACTAAATTGGCTGATGCGACTGTGCAACGAATTTATTTTTGAAACCATCCTGCAGTGGTCCTCGTTTTGGCGTTTGGGGACTGGAGCGAGTTGGCCGACGTGGCACTGTCTGGTCCTACTTTTCTATTGTAAAGCTCCACCACAGCATTGGCCTCGATTCTCTTGATGCCCTTCGCGCCATTAGTGCAGGTGGCCTACCTTGAGTTCCAGGATCCGAAACAGCGAGGTGCTAGAGTGCTCTCCTTGAAAGAGCAGCAGATAAGTCTCGATCAATGCGTCGGGAGGATCGCTGGGCCGCAGCACCACCTTGAGCAGCTGGTCGATCTTGGCAATTCCCCGGCCCATGATTTTGGTGAAACTGCGGGTCAGAGTCGGTCGCTTACGAGGACGGCGGCTGGGACTTTTCTTCCGCCCCAAGCATGGTCATGGCAATCAAGATGTTGTTCAGCGAATGGGTATCCAGCAGCATCTGCTCTGCCCCCACCTCGGACATTGGCTTGCAGCGAGTGTAGATGGTGTTGAGAAACTTGCTGAGGAAGGACTCTACAAACTTGTCGCAAAAGGACTTGAAGTACCGCGCCGAAGTCAGCTGCCTCCGGATGATGGGGATGATGTTGGTGAGGCTGGCTCCAATCAGGGATATGTGGTCCGACTGGTCTCCCACCGATGGAATCGCCGCCCAGTTCTTTTTGGTCATGGCGATAAGCGCTCCGTCCAGTGCATTCTCCACCGCCCTGACCAGCGCCAGCATTCCCGCGGCCGTTGTGGTGGTAAACTCTTCAATCTCTGCGGTAAACGAGACCAGAGACTGGAACTCCATGCTGATGGTCTCGGACAGCTTTTCTTCGAGCTAGCCAAAGTCAGCACAATCAAACGGCTACCTGTCCCGACGTCGTGCCGCAGTAGTCAGCGGTCGTTATCACTGAACAAATGCAGATAAAATCTTCCTCGGTGGGGATCCTGCGATCGTCCCTATGGATTAGAGGCGACTGCGTACTTGGGCAGCTTGGAAAGCAGCAGGTCTTTGTACTTGTCCAGCCACTTTTGGTACATCTTGGTGAGGTCGAGAAACGGCTTGCCCGTCGACAGCTTGGCGCAGTTGGCAAATGTCTGTCGGTAAAACAAAAACAGATCGAACGAGGACGAATAGACGCCGTCTTCGATCTCGCCCAGCGAGCGGCGGAAGCCGTCAAACTTTTCGCTCATCACCTGGTCCTCCATATCAATGTAGTGCCAGAGGAACGAATCAAATACGCTGGAGATAATGCGCTTGAACTTGTTGAGCTCTTCCTTTGGGATCTCGGCCGGATCCCGTCCTTTGGTGATAAACCGAAACTCTAGCTTTTCCTCAAACTCCACAGTGGTTTGGATGGCCGCGAGCATGGTTCGGGTGTCAAAACTGCTGTCCCGCTCGCTCTTGATGATCACCTCGGCCAGGTCCCGCTTGGTTTCCTGGCAAAACTGCCAGCACAGCGTCTCGGCCATCTTCCAGTGCTCGGGGAACAGCACCGCGTGGCTTTCGTCGTATGTTTTGAGCATCCGCTTCATCCAGGCATACCGTCTGCTGATGTCTGGCAGCCCGGCCACCTCGGGGTTCTTGCGAAACAGATTGCGGTAGTCCAGCAACTGCATTTCGGTATACCATCTGCTCAGAGCGCTCTTTGCATCCATCTCCAGCAGCTCCAGCACATAGCAG